TGGGAGTGGGTGGGGAGGAGGCAAATAAACTCTGGAATTTTGGCCCTGACAGCAGGGGCACCCGAAAGGAGTTGCAGAGAAAGAGTCTGAGAAGGCTGGGGAGGAAAAAGCCCAACCAAAGAGCAGCAAAAAAGGGGACTGTGCAGAACTTGTTGCTGATTGTAAATCTCTTGGGTTGGAACCCAGTGTAGTGAGAGGACCTGGGCTCTCCTGCCAGCCACAGGGAAGTGACACAAAGCTCTTGGAGGTGCCTTGTGGACAGTTGGTCAGGTGAGACTGATACCCTGAAGGGCTGAATAGCAAAGTACCACCACCACAACAGCAGAGCAGCCATCAGCAAGGACACCATAAAGGTCAAATGTTACTACACCCTACCTGGCCAGGAAGGGGAGCTCTTGGGATACGTGACCTGATGCAATAGGATGTGATCATGCCAGAGTTCAAGGCCAGAATGGACCACTAGGTCACCAAGTCTGACCTCTGGACCCCACAGGCCACTGATTCTGCCTAATACCCCTTAAACATGGTATCATAATAAAGGGGTCCAAATTACAATCGCATGGGCAACTGAAAATCTGGAATTTCCTAGCTTTGCTGTTCTTGACTTTGCCACTTCAATAATGTTCTTTTCAGGAACTTTCTAATTGAATTTCTTAATTATTCTAAAACACCTGAACAATTAAAATAACTGCAAAGACAGAAAGTTCACCACATTGCAGCTCCCTTGTGGTGCCCATGGGGCGGAGCCCTTAGAGAGCCATGGGACAGGCTGCTGGTGCTACTTGAGCTCAGGTTGTAACTGGCAGCAGCAGAAGGTTGAGGCTACACATTAGCCTCAGGGGCGAGATGAAGTACACTTTTGCCAATTGACTGCAGGTGTTTGCAGAAACTCAGGGATGCTGGGGAGTGCTCCAGTGGGCACACACATCTGACCTGACCCGACTCCACCAGGCCTGCCTCTGAAAACTAGTACACTCTGATTTCAGAAATCAGCTGTCTGTTTCTCTACTTCTTTGGTTTCCAGACTCAGTGAAACGAACAGGCAGGACCACACATTAGGGAGCAATGTTACTGACTGCAACAGGTCAGGACCAAGCCCTAAAGGTACCACAAAGAACCTTCTTGGATTTGAGAGACACACAGGAAACGGTGGCAGAAATGCTGGCTCGCCAAAGCATAGCTAGATGTCAGGAGTAAGTGGACATCCTGAGGGGACAGAAAACACAGGAGCTGTCAAACCTGTCCATGCCACGGCTCCACTTGCCTCTGACCATGCCCTATGTCAGGGGCAGCCAACCCATTACAAACGAAGAGCCAAAATAGCGGTGGATACAGCGCAAAGAGCCAAGGAAAAGTTGTCGAGAAAAAACAACAAAAAAGAAGGCCTGGCCGCTGCCCTTTTAAGGCAGCCATTTTGAAATCTGCACACCACAACTCCAACTCTGTCTCTTTCAGACAGAAACATGCTGCCCCTTTCAGAGCCGCAAGTGCAGCAATTTTTTTCTTTAAAGAGCCGCATGCAGCTCGCAAGCTGCATAAATCCAGTGGCACTCTCCATATAAAGACCAACAAACCCTAATACCCCAATACATGTGTTAGACTTTAAAGTGCCACCAGACTCCTTGCTTTTGCTGAAACAGATTCACACAACTACCTCTCTAAAACCTGCAGGTCTTTATGTAGGAATGTGATCTTTAGACAAGTCAAAACTAAAGCAAGAGGTGCCAAAGCTGCCTATTACTTGTAGAGGAGTCCATAACAGAGTTTTACTACAAAATAATCCCATTTAACTCAAAGCCAGCATCAACATTTTTCAGTTACATGAAGCAACTTCTTCCTAAAAAAAATAGAGGGTTGATTGGATATAAGTAACAGGATATTGCCAAAGACAGTCAGGCTGAGTAATCCATTTACATAAAACTTGATAATGTGTCCAATGTGTAATCATGAAATACATCACTATCAAGAAGAGAAAATATTGAGAGGCTACAGGAAGTGATAATTGCTGAAGTGTTTTACAATCACCAGAGCATTTTCATGCATCAGAAGGGTAGCCATGTTAGTCTAAACCTGCATAAACAACAAGAAGTCCTGTGGCACCTTATAAACTAGCTGATTTATTGGAGCATAAGCTTTCGTGGGCAAAGACCCACTTTGTCAGATACGTGTCATCTGATGAAGTGGGTTTTTGCCCACGAAAGCTTATGCTCCAGTAAATCTGTTGGTCTATAAGGTGCCACGGGGCATTTCATGTCGCCCATTTCTACCTAAAAATAGAAAGTATAAAATAACTTAATTTTCTGAGCAGTTATTTGAATGAAGAAAAAAAAAATCACAAGATCTTGCAAATTAAGTCTGCTTTCCTTTCGTGGAGCAGGTACTTGAATGAGAATAACTATAAATTTATGTATGTATTTAATATTTTTATCCCGCCTCTCTATTTAAAATATTTGAGGCAGCTTACAAATTTTTTAAAAACGCAATATGTAAATAAAATAAATGACCCCAAAGGGGCTGACATAAAACCTGCTAAAACACCTGAAAATGAGGGACACACATATAGTTGCCACTATAAATCACAGTGAACAGACATTTGGCCAGAGAGAGCACAAGAATAACTCTATGTCCAACCTACCTGGCATTTCGCCTGTTTGATGTTTTTTTGTTTTTGCGGGGTTTTTGGCTAAAGCTATTCAATGAATTCATATCAAATTACCTAATAATTTTCAACTTCATTAAAACACCATTTTCAGCAAGTATTTATAAAAAAATTGGCAGGTTTGCTAGCACTGACTTTCACTAGAGGAAAGAGAATTGCATTGGTTTGGCAATTAAAGGTAGTTCCTTAAATCACCCTTTGGACCAGAACAGTCAATTTTATTTTATTTTTTTTTTGGTCAAGGTATAATCAAGGTTCAGACTACAGAAAAAATAATAATAATAAAAAAGCCTAACAGCAACCATCATCAGTAAATTAAAAGATTTCAGGGTTCATTCAAAAGCATATAGTGGTCCAGATTTGGCCCATCGTCCACCTATTGACTACTTGAGTCTGAGAGGCCTGAATAAGTTATTTTGGTGAGTAGAGAGAGAACACTGCTACAGCAGAATGCTCATTACAGCTACTGAAATATCTCAAACAATTGTTCTCATCTCTGAGGGTACGTCTACACTGCAACATTATTTCAAAATAACTAGCGTTATTCCTAAATAACTTAGTCCACATCTACACAGCAGGCAGTTATTTCGAAATAGTGTCAAAATACTGTCAAGTTGGAGACTTCTTACTCCGACTCCTGTAGCCCTCATTGTACGAGGAATATGGGAAGTTGGAGAAATAATGCTATATTTCGAAATAATTGCTGTGTAGATGTTCTCTAAGTGATCTTTTTTCTAAAACTGAAATCTTCATGTAAGATACATTTTCCCAAGGTTTGCTTTTTCAACAAATCCTCAATATTAAAAAGAGGAGGCTACTCACCTCCTGTAACTGACGTTCTTCGAGATGAGTGTCTCTGGGGGTGCTCCGCATCAGGTGTAGAGCATCCCAGTGCTCTGGACGGAGTTTTGCTAGCAGTGCCTCAACGGAGGCTGCGCATGCACAGCGCGCAAACTCCCTAACTAGCTATGCACATGTGTGCCCCCCTCCCCCATCTCCCTTCAGTTCCTTCTCTATCTGGAACCTGGCGGAGGAGCGTGATTAACATGATTGCTTTTATATTTTATTTAGGTTTTCGAAGTAGAGGGGAGGAAGGAAGGGTAGTGGAGCACCCCCAGAGATGCTCATCTTGAAGAACATCAGTTACAGGAGATGAGTAACCTACTCTTCTCCTTCGAGAGATTTCCCTGGGGGTGCGCCACATCAGGTGACCAGAAGCAGTCTATCTTATGGAGGTAAGGACTTCAGATCCGGTAAGTATGCCGTCTGCAGGACAGCCTTAGCTAACTTAGTGTGGCATAAAAGACCCGAGGCAAGTGAGTAGTGTTTTGAGAAAGTGTGATCTGTGGACAACATTGCTGATGCACAGATGTCCTCCAATGGAACTTTCCTGAGGTATGTGATCAAGGTTGCAACTGCCCTGGTAGTGTGTGCTCGGATTGGAGCAGGTGGAGGTAAGTTATTAAGTGAGTAGCAGGTATACACTCTGATATCCAATGGAATAATCTTTGAGATGATATTTTCTCCCCCATGTTATGGTTAGCGAAGGAAACAAACAGGTGAGGAGAAGACCTGAATAACTTTGTTCTGTCAGTGTCGAAAGAAAGAGCTCTTTTGACGTTGAGCATGTGCATCTGTGCTTCAAAGGCATTGGAATGGGGCTTTGGGAAAAACACAGGTAGATGTATTGTTTGATTGATGTGAAAGGCCGTGCGGACCTTGGGTAAACATTTTGGGTATGGCCGCATGGACACGCTATCTTTGAGAAAAATAGTAAATGGTGGACCTGACATGAGAGTGGCCAGTTCGCTTACTCTGCGTGCCAATGTGATAACGCTTAAAACAGCGTTCCTAGTGGCTAAGTGGAGTAAGGAGCATGTGGCCATAGGTTCAAAGGGTGGTTTTGTTAAGGTTGCCAGAACCAGGTGGAGGTCCTATGGTTCTTGTGAGGGTGACACGTCAGGTTAAAGAGCTTGCATGCCCTTCAGAAACCGTTTAGTCGTGGAGTGTGCAAACAAAGTGGTGTCATCCAGTGGTACGTGGAATGTTGTTATAGTTACTAAGTGCACTCTGACTGAGGCTAATGAGAGATTAGACAGCTCCAGGTGCAGTAAGTATTTCAATATTGTCGGGAGTGGGGCTGTTTGCGGCGATATATTGCGCTCGCTGGCCCAGTGTGTAAATTGTGTCCATTTGCTGATATATGTTTTTCTTGTCACAGAAGCTCTGCTATGCAGAAGAACTTCCTGGACATGTTGGGAGCACTGGAGCTCTATGCCAGTGAACCACAGAAGTGCCACACTTAGATGGAGCATCACGAGTTGAGGGTGAGGCGTGCTGATTTGCGAGTGATAGAAGAGGTAAGGAACTTGTGGTAATGTGATTGGATAGCATTGTGTCATCCAGAGTAACAGAGGGAAGCAAGGCTATCATGGCCAGCACGGGGCTGTGACGATGATCTTCACTTTGTCCCTCCTTATTTTTATGATGACCCTGTTCAGGAGGGGAAGTGGAGGGAATGCGTATAGTAGGGGTGCATTCCATGAGAAAGTCAGAGCGTCTCTTAGGGAGTGTGTGCTCATGCCCGCTCTGGAGCAATACATCTTGCATTTTCTGTTGTATCTGGTGGCAAATAGATCTATGCAAGGTTGGCCCCATTGGCTGAATATTTCTCACAAGATTGTATGGTCCATCTCCTATTCATGCTCCTGGGGAAGGGCCCTACTTAGCGCATCTGCTGTTGTGTTGAGAGCCCCAGGTATATGGCATGCAGATAACTGGATATCCTGTGCTATTGCCCAGTTCCAAATTTCCAAAGTTCCATATGGCTTCTATGCACAGGGACTGTGACTGTGCTTCGCCTTGTCGGTTTACATAAAACATGCATGTCGTGTTGTCCGTGAAGACACGGACATGTATTCCTGTCGCCAGAGGGAGCAGCTTTTGACCCACTAGGCGAACAGCCCTGAGTTCTAAGATATTTATATGCAGGGCACGTTCCATGGGGGATCACAGTCCTTGAACTGTTCTCCCTTCTATGTGAGCACCCCAGCCAGTGAGGGAGGCATCTGTGGTGATGACCACTGAGGGCTCTATGGATTGGAAGGGTGTGCCTATAGTTAGATTGGACACCTCTGTCCACCATTTCAGTGATGCTTTCACTGATGGAGGCATAGTCAGCCTCGTTGTCAGTGAATGAATGTTTGATCTGTACTGCATTAGGAGCCAGCCTTGGAGACACCTCAAAAATAGCCTCACATTGAGAACCACAGGGTTGCAGGAAGCCATGTGGCCTAACAGTTGGAGGCAGTTGAGAGCGGTGACTGTAGGCATGTCCTGGAGCAGTGGTCTCCAACCTTTTTACACCCAAGATCACTTTTAAAGTCTCAGAACAGGCGAAGATCTACTGCCCCGCCCCTTCCTTGAAGCCCTGCCTACATTACATGAGGAAATCTAATGTAAATGTACTGCGCAGGTGCGCAGTTCAGAGAGGGTTCAAGAGCTACTTTTAGAGCCCCTGAGATCTACTGGTAGATCACGATCTACTGGTTGGTGACCACGGTCCTGGAGGGACAATGCCAGGTGCCCGATGTGAGTAGCTCTGTTGGGAGGGAGGAAGGGAGGCTCTGGCTGTGACAGATTTGAGGTGTGCCCCAATAAATTGGATGGTCTGCGAGGGAGAAAGCATTGATTTGGTATGGTTCACTAGGAGCCCTAAAGAGTGGAAGCAGTCTAGCACCATGTGAGAATGCCGGTGGCACTTCTGTTTGGACTTTGCTTTTACTAGGCAGTCGTCCAGGTAGGGATAAATAGTGATCCCTTGTCTCTTTAGGTAGGTAGACTGCCGCTAGGATCGTGGAAAAAGCTTTTAGAGTTGTAGAGAGTCCGAAGGGCAGGACTGTGTACTGAAAATGGTGTGCACCTAAAGTAAAACAGAGAAAACGTCTATGAGAAGGTCCGATAGAAACATGAAAATAGGCATCTTGCAAGTGGAGAAAGGAAAACCAATCACCCAGCTCCAGAGCTGGGATGATTGTATTTAGAGTAACCATCTTAAACCTTTGTTTCTTTATGAAGCTATTTAGGTATCTGAGGTCCAGGATAGGTCTCCACCCACCAGACTTCTTTTGGATTAGAAAATAGTGGGAATAGAACCCTTTTCCATGGAATTGAGTTGGGACAGGATCTATGGCTCCTATTTATAGCAGGTGATCTATCTCTTGTCGTAAGATGATCTCGTGAGATGGGTCCCTAAAGAGGGACGGGGTTGGAGGATGGGAGGGGGGAAGGGAAAGAAAAGGGATGGTGTATACTTGGGAGATAGTTTGAAGTCTCCATTTATCTAAGGTAATAAATTTCCACTGGTAGAGGAAGGGGAGTAAATGAAACTGGAAGAGATTGTAAGGGTTTTGATTTGCTGGAGATGGCGATCTGGTTTTTGATCTCTTGACTATATTCTCAAATTTGCTGATTGGATTGCCCCTAGCAGTTAGAGGAACTGGTTTGAGGCCGTCACCTCTGCTGCCTGTTCCGACCCTGCTGTTGGCAAGGTGGTTGTTCCTGTCTGTGGTACTCGAAGGGGAGCTGCTGGTATCTTGGCCTGTGGTACGGCTGATACCTATATTGTCTGGATCTCGTTGTAGGGGCCTGAATACCCAGGGATCAAAGGATGGCCCTGGAGTTTTTCCATGGACTGAAGAAGCTCATTGGTCTTTGAGGTGAAGAGACTGTTACCCTTAAAGGGCATATCTTCTACAGCTGTCTGAAGTTGCCTCAGGAAGGCTGAGGAGTTATACCAAGCGACCCTGCGCATAGTAACTGCTATAGCCAATGCTTTAGTGGCTGTGTCTGCTGCATCAAGCGCCACGTGGAGCGCTGTCCGCGAAATTGCCTTGTCCTTGGAGACAATGGCCTTAAAGTGCCCTTTTTACTGTCTGGCAAATCAATAAATGAGTTCATTTTTATATAACTGTTGTAGTCATATTTACTGAGAAGGGCTGAATAGTTTGCCACCCTCAGTTGGAACGTAGCAGACGCATACACTCTCTTGCCAAAGGCATCTAGCCTTTTGTTCTCCTTATTGGATGGATTAAGCGATTTTATTGATTGTTTCTCTATTGTGCAGCATCCACCACCAGAGTCAGGTGGGATAGGTGAAGAGAAACTCAGTGTCTTTGGGTTGCACAAAGTATTTTCGATCCACCTTTCTACTAGTAGGGGGAAATCGAGGCAGGTGTCTTCCATAAAGTTTTTGCAGGTTGGAGAATGGCTGGATTGATAGGAAGAGCAATTTTTGAAAATGAGCTGGACTGTAGGATGTTAGTGAGGTCGTAAGGAGCGTCTTGTACCTCCTCCACTGAAATGTTCAGGTCTTGGGCTACACGTTTAAATAAACCTTGGAAAGAGGTTATGTCCTCTGAAGCATTGCCAGTTGGAGGTAGCATCGGTTCTCCCATGACTGCTAATGATTATCTGTGATCCAGAGACCCTGTGGCTGATCCAGGGTAGTACTGGCTGTCATTATCACTCCTCATGTCTCTGTGAGGAAATTCGGTGAAGCACGAGAGCAGATTCTCTATGTGTTTCATGTTACACAATCTCTTTTTGCGCTGATGTGGATGATGGTTCCACATTTGCCATTGTGCGGGGTATGCCACTGGGGGGGGGGCATCCAAAGATATGGAGCCCACAGGGCCATCTACGCTCTGAGGAGGTCTGATGGCATGTAACCGTGTGTCCCCAGTGCCCCTTGAGGTTGGAGGCGGGCTTCGGTGAGAACACTTCACATCCTCCTCCTCTTCTTGTGAGAGGGGAAACTGTGGATCTGAGTCGTCAGAGAGAAGTGACTGAATATATCTATCTTCACTCAATATAGGAGAGTGAAGGGTTGAATCGATGCACAAGTCTTTACTCTCCCTGTAAGTGACGAGGGGAATTTGCGACATGGAGGGCTGCGCTAACTGAGAGGAGCCCGTATTTACCTCAGACGTGAAAGGGAGAGCTATAGCCCCTAACTGTTGAGAAAAGGGGGCAGCGTTCAGAGAGTTCTCTATCCCTTCACTGGGTGCTATTGTGAGTGGCTGAGGTACCGCTGTAGCTGTCATTGGGGTCAGCATTACCAGGTTTACTGAGGCTGGCACAGAGTGGTACTTTGCCTCGATCGGTGCAGCATTTGAAGCACTTTCAGGCTTACTACGCTGTTCGCTTGAGGTACCTGGGCTGTCGAATGTGCTGAGGTGGCTCTTGTCTGAGTAGCGGGACTTTTTTCCCCTCAGACTGTCTCTTAACGGGTTGCTGAGATAAAGAACTTGCCCTTCCTTTAGAGGGCTTAGAGATTTCATTATTAGATGATGAGACCTGCCCAGATCCTGGGTCAGAGGCATGTTTTTTTGTTGCTGTCAATATGGAGCGATTTCACTTTAAGCTCCTTATCTCTATGAGACCTAGGTCTCATTTTAGCACAGTGGGGGCAATCTCTGTGTGAATGAGAGCTCCCCAAGTATTTGAGGTAGGACTCATGCCCATCAGAGGTGGACATCACGCTGCTGCAGAGAGCGCAGCGTTTGAAGCCGGGAGAACTCATACCAGCTTGAGCTCTGAAGCAGTGGTCAAACCCTGCGCCACTTTTCTTTCTTTTTTTTTTTAATTAAAGCAACAGTAACAACTAGCCAACATTGAAGAAAACAGACTAAACACTAAACTAGAAATTAACTGAGAACTAACTGAGCCAAGGAGAGAGCGCACTGCTGCGTTCTGTCCGCAGCCGGGGACGGTAGAAAGGAACTGAAGGGAGGCGGGGGCCACGCATACGCATAGCTAGTTAGGGAGTTCGTGCGCATTATGTACTGTGCATGCACAGCCCCCGCTAAGGCACTGCTAGCAAAACTCCGTCCAGAGGCGCTGGAACGCTCTACACCTGATGTGGAGCACCCCCAGGGATGTCTCTCGAAGGAGAATGCGCAGTTTTTTATTCTGGTTTTCTTTTCCCCCTTTCCCTTCTTGTTTCTCCCTTTGCAATGACAAAATGGAAAGAAGAAAGGAGAGGACATGAGAAGAAAGGTGGGGGGAGGAGAGGACTGACACTGAAAAAATTCTAAATTTTTTTTGAAAAATCATTTTTTTAAATTTGTAGACAAAAAATATTTCAAAATGTTCCATCATTCTTGTAAGAGATTGGATCACAGAAATTCCCTTGGGGTTATCCTGCAGTGTAATCATCAAGCCACTGATCTCCACCTCCCTGCCTGCTGGGACTCCCCACCATGCTGTCCTGCTGGGCCAGAAGCTCTGGTCTCCCCAGCCAAGGCACTGAAATGAGGTTACTACACTCCTGCATAGCAACAGAGATGTTGAACTGACT